AGTATTGGCAAAAGTAATTAAAATATTCTAAAAATCATTTGAACATTTTCTAAAAGCCATTTGAACAAGTTATAATCAAGATATCAAATTTACAACAGATCCTTAAGCAGCACATTCAGGAGTACTCCATAGCCTGTAAATTTCTTTTGAATAAAATCCAGAGTTTTTTTATATAAAATGGTTGTGTAAATTTGTAAGTCTAGTTTTTAAAGGATTTTTGGCCAAAATACGTTTTCTAACTAAATTAATGCCTTAACATAAGCACATCCAGAATAATAATACACTCAAGAAATGTGACCCTGAAAACAAATATTATGGCGAGTAATTAGTATTGCAAAAGTAATTAAAATATTCAAAATCATTTGAACATTTTCTGAAAGCCATTTGAATAAAGTTAGTAATCGTAAGATATCAAATTTGCTAACAGATCCTAAGCAGCACATTGAGAGTGCTCTATACTGAAATTTGAACAAAATCCATTTCGGCAGAAAATGACAAAAAATTGTAAGTCTAAAGCCTTAAAGGATTTTTGGCCAAAATACGTTTTCTCTCTGAACTAAAATTTAATGTGCCTAACTATTAATACATCCAGAATAATACACAACACCAAGAAATGACCCCGAAAACCAATAAGCGGCGAGTACTCATTGCAAAAGTAATTAAAATATCAAAAATCATTTGAACACTTCTCAAAAGCACTTGAACAAGTTATAACCAATATACCAAATTTTGGTTAACAGATCCCCAAGCAGCACATTCAACTGCCATACAAATTATGAAATTGTAACTATTTTTCAGAAATTAAAAAATTAAGTCTAAAGCCTCAAAGGATTTAATACAGCAATTTTTCTTTCTCTGAACTAAAATTTAATGCCAACTATTTAAGCAATCCAAAATAATACACAACACCAAGAAATGACCTAGAAAACCAATAAGGGCTATAATTAGCATTAATAAAAGTAATTAAAATATTCAAAAATCATTTGAACATTTAAAAGCCATGAAAAAGTTATAACAAATATCAAACTTGTTAACAGATCCTACAGCAATATCAGAGCACCTATACTAAACTCTGAACAAAACCATTTTTTGGCAGAAAATGACAAAAATTGAAGTCAAGCCAAAGGATTTTGGCCAAAACATGCTTTCCGAACAAAATTTAAAGCCTAACCATTTAAGTACATCCAGAATAATACACAAAAACCAAGAAAATACCTGAAACCCATGGCGAGTAATTAGCATTGCGCTAATTAAAATATTCTAAAAATCACTTGAACATTTCTAAAAGCCATTTGAACAAGTTATAATCAAGATATCAAATTTGTCAACAGATCCAAACAGCACACCAGAGTACCATACTAAATTTTGAACAAAAAACATCAAGTCCGAAAACATAAAAATTAAGTCAAAGCCTTAAAAGATTTTTGGCCAAAATATTGCTTTTCTGAACCAAAATTTAATCCAAACAATTTAAAGCGCAACATACAGAATAAACACACAAGCACCAAGAAATGACCAGAAAACCAATAAGTGGCGAGTAATAAGTACTGCAGTACTAAATATTCAAAAAATCATTTGAACATTTTCAAAAGCCATTAGAACAAGTTATAATCAAGATATCAAATTTTGCTTAACAGATCCTTACAGACATTCAGAGTACCTATACGAAATTTTGAACAAAACCCATTTTTGCAGAAAACACAAAAATTGTAAGCCTAAATCCTAAAGGATTTTTAACAAAAATACGCTTTCTCTGAACTAAAAATTTAATGTGCCTAACTATAAGCACATCCAGAATACACAAGCACAAGAAATGACCTGAAAAACCAATAAGGGCGATAAATCATCGCAAAAGCAACAAAAACATTCTAAAACCATTTGAACATTTTCAAAAGCCATTTGAACAAGTTATAATCAAAATATCAAATTTGTTAACAGATCCTAAGCAGAACATTCAGGAGTACCTATACTGAAATTTGAACAACAAAAATCCATTTTTGGCAGAAAATGACAAAAATTGTAAGTCTAAAGCCTAAAGGATTTCTGCAATAAAAACATTTCTCTCTGAACTAAAATTCAATGTGCCAACTATAATACATCCAGAATAATACACAAGCACCAAGAAATGACCTCGAAAACCCGCCAAAGAGTAATCAGCACTGCAGTAAAAATAACACTAAAAACACTGCAGCACCATGGAACATTTTCAAAAGCTATTTGAACAAGTTATAATCAAGACATCAAATTTAAGGAACAGATCAAGCAGCAACATCGAGCAACCTATACGAAATTTGTAAACAAAAATCAATTTTTTCACAAAAATTACAAAATCAAAGTCTAAAGCCTCAAAGATTTTTAACAAAAAATACGTTTTCTCTGAACTAAAATTTAATGTGCTCAATCTGCATAAGCAACATCCAGAATAATACACAAGCAACAAGAAATTACCTCGAAAACCAATAAGTAAGAGTAATCATACGTAAAAAGTAACAAAAATATTCAAAAACCCATCTGAACATTCAAAACATTTGAACAAGAATCAAAGATATCAAATTTTCTAACAGATCCACAATACATTCAGAGTACCAATTACAATGAAATTTTTGAACAAAAAACCATTTTTTGGCAGAAAATGACAAAATTTAAGTCTAAAGCCAAAGGATTATTGGCCAAAACACAAGCTTTTCCTCTGAACTAAAATTTAAAAAGCAACCATTTAATACATCCGCAATAATACAGCACCAAGAAATGAACCTCAGAAAACCACAATAAGTAGCAATTAGCATTACAAAGTAATTAAAATATCCCTAAAAATCATTTGAACATTCTTAAAAGCCATTTGAACAAGTTATAATCAAGATATCAAATTTTATTAACAGATCCACAGCACATTAAGAGCACCTACACTGAAATTTCAAAAAAAATCAATTTGCAAAAATGACAAAACGAAGTATAGCCCTAGCGATTTTGGCCAAAAATACGCTTTCCGAACCAAAATTTAACGTGCCTAACTACTTAAGACATCCAGAATAAACACAAGCACCAAGAATGACATCGAAAACCAATAAGTGGCGAAAGCAATTGAAAAGCAATAAAAACATCTCCAAAAAATCATTAAAATTATTTTCAAAAACATTGAACAAGTTATAACTCCGACATCAAATTTGGTTAACAGATCCTTAACAGAACATTCAGAAATTATACTAAACTTTGAACAAAATCCACGGCAGAAAAACAAAAATAAGTCTAAACCTTAAAAGACTCACAAAAAAAAAAGTTTTCCCTGAACCAAAATTAATGTGCATAACTATCTTAAGAACATCCAAATAATACAATGTAACACCGCAAGAAACACTCGAAAACCACATTCAGGAGTACCTAATATATAACAGGGAAATTCAACGTTTTTATAATGGTTTGCAATCAAATTTGTTCGCGGGTTGGTCCTATATAATTACCCTCAATTTAAATAAACCAAATCTAACCCCCACATCGGTACAATACCTTGGTAAAATTGCAGTTTCGGCCAATTTGCCCCAATTGTAAAAGTATGGAAAAACTTTAAAATTAATTTCCCAAGTTGTTATTCTTTGTCCCCTGGTTGAAATGAGGTTAGAAATACTCCAAATAAGGAGATCTAAGGGTTGGGGATGGTTAATACAGTCGACAGTGCATTGGCCGAAACTGTGATAAATCACTACGAGCAAAATAATTTCCTGAAATGCTTTCTTCAACATGTTAAAATCCATCTTTAATAAATATGAACCTAAGGCACTAATACATTTATCTAACAAAAATTAAATCACTTTTAACAAATCTGAAATAAAACATACCGGAAATATGAAGAAAAGTGGGTGAGTGTAGACCGGCAGCAGTCCCATACTGTCCTCAATTATATTATCACATAAAAATCTTCAATTTTTGCAACAACACATTTATTTATATCTAAAAATAATAGAATACTTTTCAAAATAATAAAACGTTTAACTCATAAAACCTTACCTGGGAAAAATATAGACGGACTACTTCCCGGACAACAATAATGCGGTAATTACCGTAGTGGATAGTTACCGCTGATTAGTAATAAATAGATAGATAGATGAGTTATATGTAGATACATATGTATAAGTGGATAGGCAGACGGATTAATATACATAAATAGTGAAAGTTTTAATCGTATTATCTGTTGAAGTTCAAGGTGTAAGTTAATACAGCATCTACCTGGCCTTGTGGCGGACCTTTTCAAGTGATATACTGCAACGGTTTACGGTACAGTGCATAGAATATTTACACTTTATATTAACAGTACATGAACCGGCATATTTATACAATTTACACGTACTAAGGCTAATAAGGACCCGACATTATAGAGTCTTTTGTTGCGGACGATGCCAAGATATTCAAGGAAATTAAGAACCAAACGGACTGTGTAGAGCAAGAGGTCTAGGGAAGCCCCTCTAGTCCTTAATCTCCCTCTCCTGAGTCCTTTGTGTCACACCACCCATGACACACAAACAAACAAGAGAGAGAGACAGACATATCCCGTCTTGGCGTCACCACTTGTCATCATATGAACTGGTTATCAAATGTGTCACTCACCCCTAATCACCCCCCCCTCCCCCACCACCACCCCTCCCCCCTCAAAAGGTTCCTACGTTCCTTAATTCTCCTTAGTACAGATGTAAGAATAACCCTTTAACCTGTATTAACTTTAAGATAAAAATAAATGAGAATAACTCCCAGAAATTAACCTTAGCTGGTGCCATGTGAACGAGGTAAGGATTGGTTAGGTTAGGTTGGGTTAGTTTAGGTTAGGTTGGGTTAGGTTAGGTTAGGTAGTAGCCAAGTTACAGTAGTAGTAGTAGTAGGAATAGGAGGAGGAGGATAGAGAGACAGAGGAGATGAGGAAGAGAAGGGGAATGGGGGAAGGGAGGGAGGAGAGGGGAGGGAGAGAGGGTGTAGAGGGAGGTGAGGGATGGAGGGAGGGAGGCACTATTTGGTCACCGGGACTGGCACTGTGATGGTCAGTACCCTATAGATAGTGCCACGCGTAGTACATCCTCTCGATACCATCCTCGGTAAGTATCCAGGGTAACACAACAAGTGGTACCAGTTTATAATGGTATTAAAGGTGGCCACATGGGGGTAAAGGTGGCCACATGGAGGTGAAGGTGGCCACATGGGGGTGAAGGTGGCCACATGGGGGGTGAAGGTGGCCACATGGGGGTGAAGGTGGCCACATGGGGTGAAGGTGGTCACATGGGGGTGAAGGTGGCCACAGGAGGGTGAAGGTGGCCACATGGGGTTGAAGGTGGCCATAGTAGAGACTGAAAATCCCCTGAGATTATAAACTATCTCTTTCCTGAACAGCGTCAGCATGGTTATAACAGCAGCTTCAGCGTCACCGTCAGGAAGGTGGTATCGGTTAGAAGCATCGGGTAACGTCAGCAAGGCAGCAGCATCTTCATCATCAGGAAGGCGTGGGTCATCGGCACGCCTCTACCTCCTCCTGCTAGTCTCCGTGGGCGCGGTGCTTCTGCTGGCTCCCACGCCCACAACCGCCAAGACTTTCGACCTTTCGAGTTTTTTAAGTACCGTCATCTCACAAGTGGCTGAGTAAGATATCCCTATGACTGAGTTAATTAGTTTCCAGGCAGGTAATAAGTGATTTTTATTATCCAGAACAGGTAATGGGTATTGAGTGTTTTTAATTATCGCTAATGAGTGTAATTTAAATTATCGTGAGTCAGGTTGATACATTTATAGTGATTTTTTTTTTTTTAGGAAGTCATTCGCAGAGGGAGAACTGGACCTACTTGAGCACTACTGTTCCTTCCAAGCCAGGCCTCATATCTACCAATGGAAGATTTATTACAAGGCTCGTGTCTGGTGCCCTGGTTGGACCCCTATCGTCGGCATGTGTATGTGTGTTTTTAATTCGGAGTTATCACTTTAACCCTGGCTGGTATTACCATATTTTAATCTTTACTGGAGTCTTTTTTTTCTTATAAAGTCTTGAGTAGTCTTTTTTGTTCAGTCTTCCGGTTAGGTTGTTAAGTTTCTTCGTTGTTGTTACTTTAGTTTTTGTTTTGATTTTCTTACTGGTTTCGTTCATCCTCCCGAGGTGAACATGACTCGGGGGGAATGAGTCTCCGAGCTGACTTACTTTTAACTGTTCTTTTATCTTACTTGTGGTCAATATTGCTTCAATTTAATAAGTGCATGGGGGGAGCGAACTTTACTGTACCATCTACGCCAGGCAAACGTTCGCCTGTGATAGGTGTCTCTTATATGACGAGTATTACCTTCTTATTTCTCGTTTATAAGAGTTACCCCAGCAAACTTCCTCCGTCTTTTGTCATTAGTAACGTTTTCTGTGATATGATCGTTGAGCAAGTCACAGGGCAGACTTTAAACACAGGCTTACCTATTTAACCTTTAAAGTTTAGTTCGACGGCCACACTAGAGTAAGAGAGGGAGCTTGACACAACGACAAGAGTGTAGAGAAAGTTTAAACTCTGGAGGGAAACATTTGTAGGAGAAGATAATGAAGACCAACAACATGTTTTACGGAACTAAACCCAAACTCTTATAAAATAATTCTAATCTCTAGCTGAAAGGGAAGTGTTTATTATACTGTTTGTGTAATTCTTAAGGGTATCAAATTAAATGCTTCAAATAATCAACTCCGTGATATTTATCCAGTAGACGAAAACACCTTAGGACTGTCCTGAACATTCGAGTTTCCACAGTGTTGAATATTCCTTACCACCTTGAGACAGCAATACCTATAAACAGTAGTTGTACATCGTTTCCTTCACTCATCTTGAGCAACAGTTTAAACAGTTTAATGAGTATAACATGATTTAATAACCTTAATTTCCTAAAGTTTGAAACAATTTCCACTCTTGTTTAGTTAACTGATATAGATTTTTCCAAGATGGTTTAATAATTAATTAGTACAGTTTATGGCTTAATTCAAATCTTTCAAACAAAAGTTAAATATATTCCATTGTCTGACTCCCAACTCATGATTCAGACATAGAAACAAATTGTATAAATAAAACTACGAATGCTATTTGCGTTAACCTGTGGACGTTCTGATGGCATACTTGACCTCTCCACTCCCTCCTTCCTCACCTCTTATTTCTCCTCTTCCACTTTCGTTCTTCTCCTCCCCTTTCTCCTCGTTTGAAGTGTACAGTGATTATTATAAAAAAAATATCCTTGAGAATCCATATCGTGTCGTTAAGTCATCAAATATGTAAGACATGGGTTAAAACAACAACAATTATCGTAAGAATTTTTGAGGGTCTTGCCTGTCCTAATGTTTACTTCTGTCGTCCCCCAGCTCAGCTCCACAGTAGCTCAGTGGCAGCGAGGTTGAATGCTGCCAAGAACTTCGTCAAGCAAGCACTGGCTGCAGGTCTGGTGACGGAGGAGGAGGCTCTGAACTGGCTCTGAACTTTTGAATCTCGACAACTACCCACAACTGAACCCTGAATTTGAACTTTGATTCTAAACTAGGTGTTCTGAATCGTGACTGAACTACAACTCACAACAATGAAAAAACAATTAATTTTTATGTTTTATCAGTTACAAACCACCTTAATAATTACGATAAACTGTTTAGCCAAAAGGATAACTAATATGATGAAACTATTAGATAAAATATAACTACTAGTAAAATATAATGCCTTTCATTATATCAATATTATAAAAGAATGTTAATATGTTGCAATGTTTAATAATAAAACTGTTATATTATTTCTGCTTTTGTATTTTAGTTATGTATTTCCTTTTGCACTTTTATTTGGCACTAACGTGACACTAAACTTGGCACTAAACTTGGCACTATAACTTGGTACTAAACTTGGTACTAAACTTGGCACTTAACCTGGCACTAAACTTGGCACTAAACTTGGTACTAAACTTGGCTCTTAACTTGGCACAAAATTTGATACTAAACTTGGTACTGAACTTGACACTTAACCTGGCACTAAACTTGGCACTAAACTTGGTACTAAACTTGGCACTTAACTTGGCACAAAATTTGGAACTAAACTTGGCACTAAACATGGTACTAAACTAGGTACTGAACTTGACACTTAACCTGGCATTAAACTTGGCACTAAACTTGGCACTTAACCTGGCATTAAACTTGGCACTAAACTTGGCACTAAACTTGGCACTAAACTTGGCACTAAACTTGGTACTGAACTTGACACTTAATTTGACACTAAACTTGGCACAAAAATTCGTACTAAACTTGGTACTGAACTTGGCACTTAACCTGGCATTAAACTTGGTACTAAACTTGGCACTAAACTTGGTACTAAACTTGGTACTGAACTTGACACTAAACTTGGAATCAAACTTGGCACTAAACTTGACACTAAACTTGGCATCAAACTTGGCACTAAACTTGGCACTATACTTGGCACTAAACTTGGCACAAAACTTGGCACTAAATGTCAACATGGCGTCGAAATCCCACGAAGACTTGAATATAACGCAACATTCTCCCAAGACTGAGTGTGTTACAGTCCATGACGTCAGTAACTATGACGTAATAACCATGTGACGTCATAACCCTGTGATGGCAGTAAAAGTGACGTCATAACCCTGTGATGGCAGTAAATTGTGACGTCATAACCCTATTACGTCATTAAGTGTCGTGCAGAGTTCGCGTGGTGGCTGCCGGACCTTCAGATCAGTTACATCCCAACAGTCATACAAGGAACACCTTTGTCTGACATTAATCACCGCCACTGTCGCCATTGTCACTTTCCACAAGTTACTTTCTCTCAGACACGGATTTAGAGGTTAGTATGATAATATTATTGAACTAACTCTCTTTAGATACAGAAGAAAGAAAAAAAAAGATTCTCAAAGGTTCGTAAGTCTATATATCTCAACAGAATATAGGAGAAAACAGATCGCCTGACTTACTGAAAACTACATCAACAAAAAAGTCCGAAACTCAGAAATGGTATTGAAAGTATCCGAGACTCTAGTCATACCTGGATATATTTACCTGGTCACTAATTAAGACAAACTATCTCACCGTACGTTTGTTTTGAGAATCTGGCTTAGGAGTAGTAAGGTGTTTTATTCATTTGTGTGTGTGTGTGTGTGTGTGTGTGTGTGTGTGTGTGTTTGGAGAGTCAATCATCACCAAAACTAACCCTCAGTTTCTTCTCCCCAGGCAAGTCAACACCACCACCATCAATGGCTTCAGCGTCGCCGTCAGGAAAGAGTGGTGTTTCGGGGACGCCACACCTCCTGCAGCTGGTGTTCGTGGGCGTGGTGCTGCTTCTGGTCTTTCCCACGCCCACTCCCGCCACGCCCATTGACCTGACAAGTGTCATCTCACTCCTGGCAGACAACGTGATCGAGTGAGAAGTGACTTTTGAGTTTGTTTATTTATTTATTTTTGGTGGGGGAGGGGGTGGTTGGTGGGGGTGGGGAGGGTGGTGGTGGGTGGTGGGGAGTGGTGGTGGGGGGGGTCTTGTTGACCATTAACTAGTTTCAAAACAGGCTAATTCCTTCTCATCCATGACTAATACTATGATTAAGAGAGAGAGAGAGAGACCGTGTAGTGAAGAGTTCCCGTGTCTCCCACAGTCGTCTCTTCAGCGAGGGGCAGATGACCCTCCTGGGGCATCGCTGCACCTATAAGAAGCAGCCTCGCATCTACAGCTGGCAACTACAGTACCAAGCAGAGGTGTTCTGTCCAGGCTGGACTTCCTTGAATGGTAAATGTACGTCACTGTGTCTGTCTGTCTATCTGTCTATCGGTGTCTATGTCCCTCTGTTTGTCTGTCGGTGCCTATGCTCCTCTGTTTCTGTCTGTCAGTCTGTCTCTTTCAGTCTTTGTGTGTATCTGTCTTCATAATCTGTCAGTTTCAGGATTTACGAGTGTTTCATGTGTCATTTGTGTTGTTTATTGAAGTTCTAAATTCAAAATAACTTTCATACTGGTGACTGTTACCCCAATTACTATTTATTTAACTAAACATTGCAACTTACTAATAACAAATACCAATAAACAGAGAAACTTTTAATCAAACACACCTGTTGTTATCGTCACAGCTGGTCGATACCTCAGCTCAAACACAGCACTGAGGGAGGCTACAAAGAACCTGATGAAACAGGCCGTGGACAAGGGCCTGGTGACCAAGGAGGAGGCTGGGGAATGGCTTTGACGACCCGGCCACTACTAATCGTCCCCGGCCACATTCACCACACCTGTTCGGCCACCACCACCACCACCACACCTGCTGCTCCACACACACAAATACACAACAGGACAAGATCATTAAGAGTTCTTCATGTCTCCTCTCTGCCAGACACGTTAAGAGCATTAGCAAAACAATGAAGACTCATGAACCAGTTAACAAAGAGTTAAAGTAATTATTAAGGTTTGTGATGTTATAAATTCACTTTAGTTAGTTTCTTATACCATTGTCCTCAAAATGTTAAACCATAGTCCTCAAAAGGTTAAACCATAGTCCTCAAAATGTTAAACCATAGTCCTCAAAAGGTTAAACCATAGTCCTCAAAATGTTAAACCATAGTCCTCAAAAGGTTAAACCATTTTGTTTAGATATGAAAAGAAACATCAAGTATTATTATTACTTTTATTACTATTATTATTATTATTATTATTATTATTATTATTATTATTATTATTATTATTAGCATTTTTATTATTTAATATATATAACTTTATCGACTTATATATTAACTAAGGAATATAGATTAAACCAGGTAAATATATCAACACCTGTACAGTATCTTCCTCATTAATAAACTCGTTCCTAATTGAATCTACAATTGAAAAATGTTTATGTATTCCTCTCACTACTATGAGTCATGGAAAGTTCTAGAAGGAACTGAAGGATTGGAGTCTGTTTAATTCTACCTGTTTATCTGTCTAACTGTCTGTTTTTTCACCTACCTGTATGTATACCTATCCCTCTAACCTGTCTGTAAACCTGTCCATTATCATCTATACACACATACACATATACACACATACACACACATACACACACACACACACACACACCTGTATACTCTATAACTATATATTATTTTTTATTGATCTTTCCGACTGATAGATAGTGGATGGTGAAGGAGTCTCCTGAGTCTGCCACTGTGACGATCCATACCCTACAGCCAGTGCCACGCCTCCATCCTCCCTCCAACACCCACTGTAAAGTACCCGGCAGTGACAGTAGCCATGGGACAGTGATGTTGACTACGGGAAGTGTCTAGAACAGAGAAAGTGACCACAAACAGGACAGTGATAGGTACTCCCTCGAGGCTTACACAGAGTTACTTTCCTCTACGGGTCAGCTGGTTCAACATGGTTATAATAGCATCGTCAGCCTCGCCGTCAGGAAGCTTTCACTTAAGAGAACCAGGCAGCGTCAGCAAGGTATCAGGAAGTAGTGTGTCATCAGTGCGTCTCCTCCTGCTGGTGTTCGTATGGGGCGTGGCGCTCCTGCTGGTCCCAACGCCCACGACCGCTAAGCCCTTCGACATTTCGGAGTTCTTCGCTCAGATGATAACACACGTGGCTGAGTAAGACGTTCTCTTGTTGAGTTAAGGCGTTGATTACAGTGCAGGTGTAGAGTTAATGACTTGACTCTCCAGGATATGTGTATAACTAATGACTTGACTCTCCAGGACAGGTGTAGAGTTAATGACTTGACTCTTCAGGATGTGTGTATAACTAATGACTTGACTCTCCAGGACAGGTGTAGAGTTAATGACTTGACTCTCCAGGATGTGTGTATAACTAATGACTTGACTCTCCAGGACAGGTGTAGAGTTAATGACTTGACTCTCCAGGACAGGTGTAGAGTTAATGACTTGACTCTCCAGGACAAGTGTAGAGTTAATGACTTGACTCTCCAGGATGTGTGTATAACTAATGACTTGACTCTCCAGGACAGGTGTAGAGTTAATGACTTGACTCCCCAGGATATGTGTATAACTAATGACTTGACTCTCCAGGACAGGTGTAGAGTTAATGACTTGACTCTCCAGGATGTGTGTATAACTAATGACTTGACTCTCAGGAAAGGTGTAGAACTAATGACTTGACTCTCCAGGACAGGTGTAGAGTGTGACCCTCCAGGACAGGTGTGTGAGCTAATGACTTGACTCTCCAGGACGACTCTCCAGGACAGGTGTTAAGACTTGACTGACGAGTTAATGACTTGACTTCCAGGACAGGTGTAGAGTTAATGACTTGACTCTCCAGGATATGTGTATAACTAATGACTTGACTCTCCAGGACAGGTGTAGAGTTAATGACTTGACTCTTCAGGATGTGTGTATAACTACTGACTTGACTCTCCAGGACAGGTGTAGAGTTAATGACTTGACTCTCCAGGATGTGTGTATAACTAATGACTTGACTCTCCAGGAAAGGTGTAGAACTAATGACTTGACTCTCCAGGACAGGTGTAGAGTTAATGACTTGACCCTCCAGGACAGGTGTTAGAGCTAATGACTTGACTCTCCAAGACAGGTGTTAGTGCTAACGAGTTGACTCTCCAGGACAGGTGTAGAATTAATGAGTTGACTCTCCAGGACAGGTATTAGAGCTAATAACTTGATTCTCTAGAACAGGTGTTAAAGTTAATGAGTTGACTCTCCAGGACAGGTGTGACTGACTTATTGACCTTCCTCCCCAGCAAGTCGTTCGCGGACGGGGAGCTGGACCTGCTGGACCACTTCTGCTCCTACAACATCCGGCCGTACTTCCACAAGTGGCGACTCTACTACAGGTCACAAGTCTGGTGCCCTGGATGGAGCCCCATTATTGGCACGGGTATGTGATGCCCTGTACTCTGTCATCACGAGTTAGTTGAAACCCTCATGACACGTCCACACACCTGTCTGTACCACTAGACCCTCACACACCTGTCTGTACCACGAGACCCTCACACACCTGTCTGTACCACAAGACCCTCACACACCTGTCTGTACCACAAGACCCTCACACACCTGTCTGTACCACAAGACCCTCACACACCTGTCTGTACCGCAAGACCCTCACACACCTGTCTGTACCACAAGACCCTCACACACCTGTCTGTATCACAAGACCCTCACACACCTGTCTGTACCACAAGACCCTCACACACCTGTCTGTACCACAACACCCTCACACACCTTTCTATACGTCTCTTAAATGAGTCTTTTTTTTCATAAGAACATAAGAACAGGGGAAACTGCAGCGGGCCTATTGGCTCATACTGGGCAGTCCCATTTACACCCAAACCCTATTGCTCATATATCCATCCAACCTATGTTAGAAGCTATCCAGCGTATTCGAGTGAATAATGATATTTGGTAACTTGTTCCATTCATCCACTACTCTATTTCCGAATCAATGTTTACCTATCTCGCGCTTAAATCTAAATTTGTCTAATTTAAGACCATTGCTACGAGTTCGCTCCTGGTGGGATAGTTTGAGTACCTTTGTTACATCACCTTTGTTTAGCCCTGACTTCCATTTATACACCTCTATCATATCGCTCCTCACTCTACGTCTCTCGAGGGAGTGCAAATTATGATGCTTTAATCAGTCTTTGTACTCAAGGTTCCTAATGCCCGGGATTAGTCTTGTCCTTCTCCTCTGAATGCTTTCTAGGGATTCTACTGTATATCCATTCTGTAGTACGGTGACCAGAACTGAACTGCGTAATCCAAGTGAGGTCTCACAAGCGCAAGATATAGATTTAGGATGACCTCCCTAGTCTTGTAACTAACACTCCTTTGTATGAACCCAAGTACTTTATTAGCCTGGTTTCGAGCAAATACACATTGTTTTCTTGGTTTAAGATTCCTACTTATCATTACTCCTAAATCTTTCTCATAGTCGGATTTCTCAATAACATCGTTGTTCATCTGATATCTGGTTTCTCTGTTTACATCTCCTAGACTAACTACTTTTCATATGTCCACTTTAAATTTCATCTGCCATTTTTCAGACCACGCGAAAAACTTGTTTAGATTTCCTTGTAGTTTTGCATAATCCTCGTCTAGTTTTGCGGGCACAAATTTAGTCATTATATTATGAACGAAATGTAAGACTTTTCATGGTTACGACACATATTAAGTCTTTTTAAGGGTAGAGGCATAAAGGTCGGTCAAAGGTCAGACTTTTAGCTAATCTATTCAACCTTTGAGACTGTGGTCGTGACTTCAGGCGTGACTGACACTATCACTAAAGTCTTATCAACGTGGGGATATACAATGTTTCAGTCGGCGTTTCAGATAAAAGTTTCAGGGTGGGGAGGGAAGTTTCAGACAATGTTTCAGACGATGATTCAGGGGAGGGATGTTTCAGACAATGTTTCAGGGGGGTGGATTTTAGACGATGTTTCAGGGGAGGGAAGTTTCAGGGGAGGGAAGTTTCAGAGGAAGTTTCAAGGGAAGTTTCAGACGATGTTTCAGACGATGTTTCAGGGGAAGGGAAGTTTCAGACGATGTTTCAGGGGAAGGGAAGTTTCAGGGGGAGGGAAGTTTCAGACGATGTTTCAGGGGAAGGGAAGTTTCAGACGATGTTTCAGATACAACTTAAGACAGTTTTTCCCAAAGAATTAACTAACGACCATTTGAGAATTTATTTCTGTCGTAACTTAAGGCATTTAAGGAACGACTATTCGAGAATTCACAACCAACAATATTTACTCTTGACGTCTTTCAGCTGACCGCCACACCAACTCCGTGCACGCGAAGATGGCAGCCACGAGGAGCTTTGTACACCAGGCAGTAGACAGAGGTTTAGTGAGGAAGGAAGAGGCTGTGAACTGGCTGTGAACTGGCTTTGATGTGACCTCGACTTGCAGCCATTACCACACTGGCTTTGAACTTGTGAACCTTTGATGAACTCTGATGTTATTATGTTAAACTATATATAATAAACATCCAAGTTATCTTTAATCACCTTTTTTACTACACCTTTATGAATGTTAATTAGTGTTTGTATCAATTATTATTCAATGTAAGTTAGTCAATGTCTCTCTATCTCTCTCTGTCTATCAATGTATGTATGTATGTATGTATGTATGTATGTATCAATGTATATATGTATGTATGTATGTATGTATGTATGTATGTATGTATGTATGTATGTATGTATGTCTTATTTCTTGACCCTGTCGTGAAAGATGGTGTAATAATCTATAACTTTAACATTAATTAAAGGAACGCACCTCTTTATATCTTCAACTTAACGAACTATAATATCAGAGGAATATCAGACAATATATTTTTACCTGTATGGCGTCGATATCGAAGTAAGATGTGATAGTAATTTAATTTAATTCTCTCGCTTTTATTTGGCCCACTAGCACGTGATGTCATAGCCTTGTGATGTCATCAGTATGTGACGTCATCAGTATGTGAAGTCATCAGCATGTAACGTCATTCACATTAAAGTGTCTGGCAGCGTTAGTGTGGTGGCGGGAGGGGCGGTCCGGGTGAACCACCAGTTACCTCCTTACAGTCTTACGAAGAACATCTCCGACTGACACTTACCACAAGACACTGTCGGTACTTTCATCAATTGTATGTATGTCCTTTGAAATTGGTTTATTTTTTGTATTTAATGTGAATTATATTGGTTTAATGTAATTTCCAATAAATTTGTAATCATATAATATTAGGTACTTATAGAAAGAAGTTTTGAGTTAATATTCTAATTGTAAAAGATGAATTGTTTGTTTATGCTTAAAATGCTCTCTTCCTTGAGGGGTGAATACAGGGTGTGGATGTGAGATCAAGAAAGTGATTGTAATCTCGTTTCATCTATTGTATTTCCTTCACTTTGGTATTGATTTACTAACTAGCATTAAGGAGAATACTATGTTATACTTCTGTGAGTGGAGGAAGAGCCTTATTGCGAGACTAAGATTGATAAATTACTAAATCAGTTAGGCCACAAGTATAATGAATAGTTTCCTTAGATGTATTCTCATTGTATTTATATTAGCTATCATCCTCAACTATCAGCCATTATTTCAGATCGTGAGTCTGATTAATGAGCCTTGGAGTTGGAGCACTGCAGAAAGAGGGAGGTTATTCAGTAGTGGTCGTGACACTATTTATTTATCTAACTGGAATCCAAAATGGCATGCAAAGACCTCTGAGACTGCACCATAACCCACAGTTGTATAGAAATTAAAAATACTTTAGTACCTCCCCCAGAGACCGTCAACACCCTCAAAAGTATCCCTAATTTCTCTGCCAGACAATTAACATCCCCATAAATAATCCCCAGTTTTCCCCCAAAGTCAATACTCTCATAAGTACCCCCAGTTTCCCCCAGACAATTAACATTACCCAAATTAATCCCCAGTTTTCCCCCAGACAGTCAACACTCCCAAATTAACCACCAGTTTCTCCCCCAGACAGTCAACACCATTATGGCTTCAACAACACCGTCAGGAAGGAATGAATCAGGGTTACCGCGCCTCCTGTCGGTGGTGTCCATGGGCGTGGTACTACTCTTACTGGCCCCTACACCCACACCCGCCACACCCTTTGACCTCTCAAGGGTCATTTCGACTTTGGCGGACAACGTAATCGAGTGAGAAGAGATCTTATAGTTTTTTGACCACGACCTTTGACCTAGTTACTTGACCTTGACCTTTGACCCTGTTATTTGACCTCGACCTTTGACCCTGATGTTACTTGACCTAAATATGACCTTGACTTTTGACCTAAGGACTCGACTCCTCATCAATATGACTCAAGTTTCAGCTACTCCTTGGGGACATTACGACCCACACCAGGGAGAATAAGGTCCTAGCTATCCTTACTACGAGAGAGAGAGAGAGAGAGAGAGAGAGAGAGAGAGAGAGAGAGAGAGAGAGAGAGAGAGAGAGAGAGAGAGAGAGAGAGAGAATGTCTTGGACTTTAATTTCACCCTTCACATCTCCTGCCTCTACAGTCGACTCTACAACGAGGGGGAGATGAACCTACTAGGCCACTACTGCACCTACAAGAGACAGCCTTACTTCCACAGGTGGGAGCTGTTTTACCGAGCCCAAGCTACCTGTCCCGGCTGGAGTACCTCTGTTGGTAAATGTACGTTTGGGCAGAGCCTGTTTGGGACGTCTGTTTATCTTCTGTCTATTCTAGTCCATTTATCTCTCTTCTTTTGTCTGTATCTGTCCTTCTGTGTCTGTTCTTCTGTCTGTCTCTTTTTCTTCTGTCTATATATACCCTTCTCTGTCTCTGCCCTTCTGTCTGTCTTTGTGCTTCTGTTTGTCATAAAATGAGTTCTGGTGAGCAACGAATGAGGGTTCTAATTTGTCGTTAACTTCCAGCCATCAACCACCGCAACCCTAACTCAGCTGAGAGGGAGGCCACGAGGAATCTGGTGCAGCAGATCGTGGCAGAGGGCTTAGTGGCCAAGGAGGAGGCCAAGGAGTGGCTCTGAGGTCCTGGCCAGCCACCACAAATACACCCCAGCCTGGCAAACACCTACCACAGTGACCCTATTTGACCATACCTACCACAGTGACCCTAGTTGGCCATACCTACCACAGTGACCCTATTTGGCCACGCCTACCACAATGCCACCACCACTAACTGACCAACCTCCTGAAAGAAAATTTCCTTCTTGCCTGGTGTTGTGAGCCACACGATTACTGAAGCAACATAAACCTAACCTAACCTAACTTAACCTAACCTAACCTAACCTAACCTAACCTAACCTAACCTAACCTAACCTAACCTAACCTAACCTAACCTAACCTAACTTAACCTAACTAACCAACCTAACCCAACAACCTAACTTAACCTAACCTAACCTAACCTAACCTAACCTAACCTAACCTAACCTAACCTAACCTAACCTAACCTAACCTAACCTAACTTAACCTAACTTAACCTATACTGAGTTAAATAAAGTTCAAGGTCAGAGAGGATAATATTTACCTTACAATGACTCACCTGTACTGTTGATTTAAGGTACAGGTAAGTATGTAATTAAGGCTAATGATACTTATTTTAGATGTCAATTTTTATATATAATTAACTCAGGTATTAATCAGATCTATATCAGTGTAGTAATGTTTCTCATCAATAACCCAAACTACATTAGTGTTTCTCATCAATAAATTAATATCTTATTAAAGGTAATCTGAAGTGAGTTTTATGTCCTCGTCACAAATTTGTCTCTCAGTGCTGTGGGTTAGTAACAAAGGAGAGGAGATAGTGGGATTAAAGAAGAGAAAATAATAAGAGACAAGGATATGATAAAGGAAGAGGATATTAGATAAGAAGAGAATAAGTAAAAAAAATAATGAGAGAGAGAGAGAGAGAGAGAGAGAGAGAGAGAGAGAGAGAGAGAGAGAGAGAGAGACCATCTCCACACGTTTATCTCTCAAAACTGTGTCATGGATTCGAGTCCCATCGCAAGACACGCGTGGGACGGGTACTATCCAGTGTAACTTTACCCAAAATTACACGTTTTCTTTAGGTACTTCAGTTTCCTCCTGTACTTGGACAATAAAATTTATAAACTAAATAACAAAGAACAGACCAATTGCCCAAATGACTGATAAACTGATAAAGTCGCGAAATGGTATATGAAATACAGTGGTTTTCCTTATCTGATACGCCGACCAGAAGTGTCACTCATGTTGTCAAGTTTTTCTTCTTTGTGACGAGGCAGATTGGAGTCCTGTCACTCTCATTAAAGAAATATATATGATTGTAGAGAAGTAGAAATGTACGTTGTTCTAATTTAATGTGTTTAAAAAAAAAATAATGGTTTGGGAGATTTTTATTCACCGGTCATGTGGTAACGTGGCTCTGGTGAACACTTTAACGCCTGAAAAAAAATTGATAGATACTAAGACATACTGACTGACACCCAGACTCAGAAAGACAGACAGACAGACAGATACTCAATGATAGCCCCCCCCCCCCCAAAAAAAAAACTCTGATAGACGCTCAGATTGATGACAGGCAGCAAGGGCGGATCCAGGAATATCAAGAGGGGGGAGGGGGGTCCAAAACGTTGTGGGTGAAGGAACATGGGCGAGCGCAGCAAGCCCACCCAGCTGGTTTTTCTTGGGGGGCTGGGTTGGGGTCTGTAAGTTCCCCCAGAATTTTTATCATGGGCATTTTGTTGGCCATTTTGAGTCATGCGCACTTAATATTAGGAGATATTTTGAGGTCGATAGTAAATACTTTTTACTATACAAAAATGCCTGAGTACAATACTGCAATAATGAAAAAGTATTGGAATTTTCTGGTGAAAAGGGGGGATTCCGGACCCCCCCCCTTTCCTGGATCCGCCCTTGTCCCGGCACAATGACAATGAGAATAGATTTAATTTATGCTAACGCGTTACACAGAAATCTTTTGCAGTTACCCCTTCAAAATTTACGTTTTTTTTCTCATATAAGAACTTCACAGAGAATGAAATGAAGAGAATTTCACATCTTTGTGTTTCGTAGATATTCCTTAACATGATGGACGGAGATATATGTTGAAATATTAAAAAAATATATATATTCACATATTTTCCCTGTTGTTCAAGGCCCCACTCGCTCTGTGGGCCACAACTCAAAAAAAATGAATCATTTTTAGTTGCTGGATCGAGGAGTTGGTGTGGCGAAGATACACAAATAACAGGCTACATGCGTCAACTATACAATGAGCAATATAATGTTCTCCCTCCACCCAAATACATTATATCCAGACTCATTTTTTCGGAGTTCTGACAACGGATCTACCATCTACAGGTGTGTGCAAGTAACAAGTATTGTATAAAAATAAAATGTTCAATAACTATCCTCTTTGTTCTTCACTTTACAGGAGAAAGTCGTCAACAATTCACAATGAACTCACAGCACTAGACTACCTTCTTCAGGAGAGTCCGTCTTTGGGTTCTTAACACTGGGTTCTCCCTGGGTGTAGACCTGTAGGGATTCGTCTATAGTTTTGCCCGTCATCTTGGTATTTGTTACAGGGTTGTACACCATACTTTGGCTGTACAGTCAGGAACAAAGCTTCCTCCCACGAGTACATAGCAAACGAGACGTGTTGACATTGTGTTCGTTGGCCACTGTTGAGAAAGTTGCAGGATGGAATTGCAAGAGGTCAAAAGAAGGATATAGTTGGGTGTTCTCAAGACCTGGACTATCGTATCTGGGAATGATGATAAAATTGTGAAAATATTCGAGTACGGTGCGAAGTTGTCTAGTGGAATTCTAAAACAAAATTATTTTGTGAATTTATGGTACTTTAATATGTAAATTAGGCTCTTCAACTGCCTCAATAAATAACCCACAACACAGTACAGTTAAACTTTCTCTGGTAATTTACATGTTGAAATAGAACGTGTGGAGAATGTACAGTATAGTAATGTTGGAGGCCTTTGAGTCTTGCTAAAACATGCTAACAAATGTATGAAACAGACCTCACACACCTAGCTCTCCTCTCTCCCCTGGCTGTGACAAAGGGGGGAAACCCGTGTAACTATGATATTTATGAATGGGTTAAAATAATTCAGTTCTAAGAATCAACGAGCGGCATGAACACGGCAGCCATAAATGTTACGAGTTTGTGACAATAGTTATTCGATCTTATTTACCGTCAGCTCAAAGTAACGTCATGTTTGAGTGATGTTGATGCATTAATATGTCTCTTAGTTTACTATTATAGACTGATTGATGTAGTATGGGAGTTAATCACCATTACACACCTAACAAGCATGTGTAACTAGCTTCTTCAGGGTCAATTATAAGGGGCGGGGTTGTATCTGTCTTTATGGTGATTAGAGTGATTATAGTAATATATCAATGATTACGAAATTATATTGAGAGAATATTTTACCATTAACTGATATAAAGATGATGTAAATTTAGAAGTGGAATCAAGTTATAACGAGTGTTCTGGCGGTCTGCCCCCCACCCTCCCCCAACACACACATTGATAGCGGATCGAGTACTCTACCATATCCATATCATTTACTATTCGACACTCTTTAAGTTAATCTAAATCCACTAGTAATTAAACAGATAGTAATGGAGTATGAACCAAGAGTCATTAGTTAAGCTGATAATCTCCAAAGACACCATCAAACTGAATAATTCCAATTATATGTTCAAACTATACTTAACCGTAACTCCCATATTATTGTCATTGTTGTCTTTATTACTAACTGTGAGTGACCCATCAGTTATTGTGAGTGACCAAGTCGAAACTCTTTGGTGAAGTGTATGAAAGGGTTTTGAGTTCTTACGAGGATCTATGGCGTCTGCAAGTGTTCCCCATACAGTTCAGTCACATACCAAACCCCTGGCAGGAGAGAGAGGGTTGGGTAGAAGGCAATGGGGTCGTAGCTCGTTTAATGATAAGGGGACTTGTTCATTTGGTTACTGGTGATGATATGATTGTTCTCCAGGTAGCTCATCAAGGGTGTGTGTGTGTGTGTGTGTGTGTGTGTGTGTGTGAACAATGTTTCTTAGACGACTGACTTCGAAAAAAATGTTAATCATCTTCCCTCCCCCACTAATGACCCCCAGAGCAGACAATTAGCCCCCCCCCCTCCTCCACCCCCCAAATGATAATTACCCCTCATCCTCAAACGATAGCTCCAAGTACCACCACCACCCACTGAGTGTAGGACAAGGTAGAATGTGTAATTTGCATGTGTAATTAGATACATGTGTAGTACAGTGCTTTTCCTGTATACAGCGTATGTATACTATACCATGACAAGACGTACTGCATGTATAGACAGAAATAAAAACATTTTAACTACGCCTCTACTAACGTTACTAATTAATTAATATCTTTACCTGTACTTTTATCCACACCTCTACCTGTACTTTAAGGTAACCATATTGCTGCCTCGTTACTCTCACCACTGACACCGAGGAGTTTGGATGGGGAAACTCCTATTGTCAACGTCACTCTAGGAAAACCCTGCGCTCATTACCTGGGTTTTTCATGTTTTGGTTATGAGAATCACAGGTGGTGAGTAGCCTGACGGTACACGACAGACTGAAGAAGATGACTTAACATGGTGGTGACATTATCGTTTCATATAGTGCAAAGCCACAATGGGATTAAGGTTCAGAATACATGGTTGTTTGTATTATATGGTCAGTCTTATGCTCTGTTAAGTTTTGTCGGTTCCAGTGGAGGTAGATAATGTCATAGACATAAAATTCAGTGGGGTTTTTCCTGACAATTATGTAAAGGTGACGCTGAAGTTATATTACCTGTATTATCACCACCACTACCACCATCCTTCACTACCCACCACCTACCCATCATCCTAACACCTACCACCATCCTTCACCATCACCACCACTACCACTACCACCATCCTTCACTACCCACCACCTACCCATCATCCTAACACCTACCACCATCCTTCACCATCACCACCACTACCACCATCCTTCACGCGGCCTCACCCTACCACAATCGAGACCCCGTGCTTATAAACATCCCCTCTTGTCGATCATATATTGGAGACAGAATTGTAGGCTCGTGCGGCCGCAGTCTTACAGGGGGAATTAACCAACACAGCTCTTTGACTCGGCATTGCAAAACGACACTGAAATGTTTTGGTGTGACCCCCTGGATGACGCCTACAGGTGAGTTAAGGTATATTGATTGGTGATTACCTGTATTTCTTATTTGTTGTTATGTATTTATTCTATTTTTATCTATTTATCTATTCTTCTATTTCTCTCTTGTTTCTTACGCCCATACGCCCACAACACCTAGGTTCTCACACACGCCCACTACGCCCATGTCCTCACCCACACACGCTCGCTCGCTACACACACACACACACACACACACAAACACACACACACACACACTACATCCTTAACCACCGTAGGGTCGAGACCTATTCAGGCGCTGCTCCTGCTGAGCAGCTGCCCCCCTTGGCCAATGTTCGGCCCATTCCCCAAGTCCCTCTCCCCGACCCATCCTGGGAACTGACCGCTATCGTCTGACCAGGAGCTGCTAATCAGTCCACCCTGGGAACAACAGTGGGTCGGCTTTACACCTGACTACCAGATAACACAACACCACCCAGCAGGGTGAGGTACTGTGACACCACACCACACCACACGGTGTCCCCATGACCACGTGAGGTAATTCATATCAACACCCGAGGACGAGTTACTGCACCACGTGAACACCACACCACCCGATGTAAACACCACACCGCCTGGTGTCTCCATGACCAGCCCAGGCCCGGGCCATCAACTGTAAACTATAATAATTTGTATAATTTGTATGTTCTTTTCATGTTCCTTCTCCTTTTAATAATGAAAGCTTTTGTTAAACGACCCACCCACCCACCCCATGTCTTTGTATGTAATAAGTCATTTTTGGCCAATGTATATTTTCAGCCTTCGGGCTGCAGAACCTTTTCAATAAACCGTTAATTATTATTATAATTATTTTTATTATTATATATACACACACACACACACACACACACACACACACACACACACACACACACACACACAAAAGACCATACTCCCACGTACACAAATAAGGTTCAACAAACAACAAAGTTACATTGGTGTATGAACCTTAATTACAGATGTGGTATTACACTTTATTAATACGAAGGTTAAGGCGAATATTACCAGTGTTTGTTTGTTTGTTGTTGTTTATTCGAGTTTCTGCGGGTCAACAACCAAGTCCTTTTATGTATGTAATGTAAGGTGGACCATATATTAGCAATAACTATTTAAGCAAGCTTATTAAGTCATTAGTAAGACACATTTTTGTAATATATTGAAGAAGTTGGTCTAAGGATTACCATTATTTGGGGGTAAATTAGCTCTTTAACCTATAATATATACTCCTTTTTTTTGTTCTTATATTGAGCGTCTCTTGATAGCTCCTGGGGCCACATCAAGAATAAGCACCTCAGAGTATTTGACCTGATGATGAAACACCCTAACTCTACCTGGGGGTTAGGTTAGGTTAGGTTAGGTTAGCTCAGCGTCAGTGAGCTTTATCACCGGGTAAAATAAGCTGGGATTTCTAAAACTCTGGTGATCAAAACTTCCCATTAGAAAATAGGAAATCCCGCGCGTGCGTCAGAAGTGACGTCATTGTTTGAAAATAAGAACATAACTAGTGAAGTTATAATTATGTTGTATGCAATGTTAATACGCCATTAAAGTCCTGCAATATATAACGGGAGCTTCGACTATCTGAACGTCGGCTTCTGATCATAAGCAAGACAAACCTGACCTTAGGGTGCGGAATTTTCCTAGTGTCTCTAAGGCAGGTGCACTTTGTCAGGAACAGGCTATATAACGCGCAGGTGGACCCAGATAACCAGTAACTCTCCACTCGTCATACCGAGCAGTTGTACTTCCATACGTCCCCAAGACAGTGTCACTACTGCCCTCATCATCTCCCGACACTTTCTTGTTTAAGGTAAATAAATACTGTACAGTTCCTGATGATGTTACAATGCTTCATTACACTTGAACAACTAGGATAATTAAGCGCGTATTCTAAATTAATCAACACTATAGTTACTAGAATAAACACGAAAAAAAAAATCACCCCCTATATTTTCTTACTGTCAACCTATATAACATCTGTAAATCACATTCTTCCTTTCATTCAATAACAACAAAAATAACCAACCTTCTTTAGATAATTAATTGTTGTTTTATTGTATAGATCAACATACAGTACGTGATTAATGACCTTGGTGGTTAATGTTTAGAAATAACACAGAACATCAGTGAACACGAGACAAAACATCGACTTATTTATTTATTTAAGTTCTAGTATCCAGTTACTTTAGCTCTTTATTAATTTATTTTTATTTTTATTTTATTTAGTTTTCTTAATTTATTCTTTTCTTAATGTTTAATATATTGTAATTTTTCAACATTATTGTATTTCTTGTTTTGGCTATTTTGTTTTTAAGTTGAGATTATTTACCATTCGGCAACACACACACAAATACCCCCAAATTAATCCCCAGTTTTCCCCTAGACAGTTAACACCCCCAAATTAATCCCCAGTTTTCCCCCAGACAGTCAACACTCCCAAATTAACCACCAGTTTCTCCCCCAGACAGTCAACACCATTATGGCTTCAACAACACCGTCAGGAAGGAATGAATCAGTGTTACCGCGCCTCCTGTCGGTGGTGTCCGTGGGCGTGGTACTACTCTTACTGGCCCCTACACCCACGCCCGCCAAGCCTTTTAAGATCGGCGACATCATTGGTGCTCTGGCTGACGTAGCAAAGTAAGAACTGACTTGGTTTTGTTTAAGACTCGTAAAAGAAAAACCTGTTGTAGTGGCTTGGCGTCCTCCCGTTATGATCAGGACGAGCGGCTCAGAACAAGAGAGAGAGAGAGAGAGAGAGAGAGAGAGAGAGAGAGATCATTATCATCGCTGTTTTTATTATTATTATTATTATTCTATCCCAACTCCTCTCCTAAACATATGTAAACAAGAAATCAATAACAATAATTATTCTTTCCCGCAGAGACACGTTCCAGCAGGGAGAAATAGAGCTGTTTGGTCACTACTGCATCTACAGGAGGGAACCTCACATTAAAAGCCTTGAACTATATTACCGTTCCGAGGTTAGATGCCCCGGCTGGACCTCCATTATCGGAAGATGTAAGTGTCTGCCTGTCTGTCTGTCTGTCTGTTTAATCTATCTATCTGTTAATGTACACAAAGCAGTCTTCCTATAAACACGTGATCGTCTCTTATGTTAACTGTTATCGTTTCTGCCACAGCTGATGACCGCCAGAATCCCACACACTCTGAGAGCGAAGCGGAGAAAGACTTCGTGATCAAAGCCGTAGCTAAGGGCCTGGTGACGAAGGAAGAGGCGGCAGCTTATTTCTAACTGGATTTTAAGTGTACAAGCCTGTTCTAACCTGACCACTTCACTTCCTCGCTACACTGTTTAATGGTGCGCCGCTGAATACCGAAAAAGATGTCAACGTCCACCTCTTGTTATCCGTGTGTGTGTGTGTGTGTGTGTGTGATGTGCATTTGTTATAACTCTTGATATTTATATAGGCAATAAAATGTACTTGTTTTACTATTAAATTAAAAATAAAAACAAAGTAGGAGTTTTTATTTATTTACAACTTTAATAACAAGCAAAAACATTAATAATCATAATTTTCATTTACTGTATATTAAATTTACTAAAAAAAAGAACGTGAAGAAAATACAGTACTACAAATTCTTTTAACGATGATTTTCAGAATGAACACTGTGACTCCCGTTGTCTCGGTAGGGTTGTCAAAATCCTTCGTCCGTTGTGTCATATTATCTCACACTAAATCGTTGTATCAAAAAGCAATGTTACCATAGTAAAAATAAGCTATAAGACCACAGTATTGGATGTAGTGTAGATGATGATGTAATAAATGTAATGTAGATTCTGTATTAAATGTTAGTTAGGGATATAGGCTTTGAACCGCCTATCGAAAACAAACGCGGATGATGGTGTAGTGGATTCCTCCCCTACAAACGCCGTGTATCGCTGACTGGCCGACCCCCCGCGAATCTACCAGCGTATCCCTCGTGGTCAAGGTCAGGTAACTAGGACGCCGAACAAAACAAAGCGGGGGCCTACCATCAAGCCACGCCTACCCCCGCTATATAAGACCACACCTGGAAAAAAGTGACTGAACTTAACACAGAAACATATCAAAACTGGATAAATAATATAGACAATGAAGAATTCCAAGAACACAGTTGGTTTAAATCAGCCAGGAAGAAAGTAATTGAACCACCTCCTGCCCCAATATACATATAAAACATTAATAGAGAGAATAAAAGATGAGAGTGACCTACCAGCTCCACTAAGAACCTGGCAGGCCTCTCCATACAGTGTACCTTTAGACTAACATAACTAACATTTAACTAACACCTAAAAAAAAAAAATGTGACTACCCTCCCAGCTACACAAGGACCTGGGCGGGCTCACTAACTCCAACAATAATAAAAATAATAATAATAAGCAGCATTATATAAATAAACCAATATTAATACAAAGGTCTGACGACCCAAGGGAGCAGAACAAAGATAAAACACCAATAAGAAAGATGAAGCGATCTGGTTGAGCCCAGATTCTTTCTACTCCTACTGTATTTCAGTTTCACCACTTTTCCTTCAACCCCTAATAATCTCCTTTCACCTCTTAACTAAAGACTTCGTATCGTATCGACATGCCCCTTCTTCTAGCTACAGCCGCAGCAAGCAACACCTCCTGCCTGGCGGCCCTCGCTCCCGCCGGCGAGCATGGCGACCCACAAGCTGTCCTCCTCTGAGCATCCTCACCAACCAGCTCTCTCTACTCAACGCTTGTAACCATGCTGCCTTCCCAGCACCAAGCTGCATTGTACATCCAATACAACATGTATACAGAGAGCACATTGTGAGTTTCCTTTCTCCATCCCCATCCTGAGTGTGAACCAAACATAACGTACTCCACAATGGCAGGTTCCAACTCCCCCCACCCCCTCCCTCCCACTTCCTCGCGAGTACCGGCAAATGTAATATGATACATGATGCTACCGAACCCTACCTACCTTTTCTAACCTATTATGATAACTATAACGATAATGATAAAATCCCCCCTCCCCACAAAAAAATTAAAACACTCAACTTTCTCTAACGTATAATAACAAACATGCAGAAATGTGGTTGTAATTCCGTGAGACGCGCAGAAAACTAATATATAACATCTGGCTTCGTAAACAAACAAAAATATGTGTGTTTACGTGGTTTAGTGGATGTGATATGAACAGGATCAAGAGACAACAATACTGACGGATTAAAAAGTTCACAAAAACAAAATTTGGTGGATTTTTATCTTTAAAATTGTTTCTCGTGAACAAGTTAGACCAACAACAGACAGGCTTGGGTCAATTAGTAATTATAAATGTGAAGGTGATTACAATTAATTATACTAATTTGAGAAACTGTAACTGAACTTTGAACATAAAAAAAATACATGTCGCTGTAATTTTAATTTGATGTTCAAGTTTAATTCAGTTATAATTACATCATGAAATTAGGACGATATGAAGGATTACTGAAATACTGACAATGGTTAAATAGGCGCTAACACACGTTCGAGTCACTCACATCTAATACTCGTACGTGAGTGAGTGAGTATGAGCGAGTTTGTCAATATGGGTGAGTAAATGAGTGAATGTCTTTGAGTAAGTGATTGAGCAGTGTTCAGTGTTGTCTGTGGCCTGTGGGTGACTGAGTGAGTGATATCAAACACTACCATATTTAAATCGAAAAACACAGCAATAAAATTTACTCTCACAAATTGTCTAAAATGATTCTGGACATTATTCTGTTCAGGAGTCAAAGTACGCTCCCCAACAGCCATTTTCATTAAGTATCCCCTTTAAATACTTCATTTTCTCTTAACAAATTGTGTTTTCTCAAATGGAATAACTCTTTAAGGGGGAACCATTGTGCGGATGGAAGAGTAACAGGACACAGAGCATGATAGTTAACTACAGATTGAATGAAGTGAAGATAGAAGCTATGGGGGTATTATTTCACTTGTTGCCGCTACACGTAGCACACGAATTTTATAGCTGCAATCAGTAGTTTTGACAATTCTAAGACACTTTTCTTCAGTGGCATTTCTGGCGCAAATTACGTTCAAGCTAGATATTTGACATTTTATTATGCATGTTCGTACGTGGCGGTACACACACAAAACATTGAAGGACTGTGGAACTCCTCATTAAGGTTAAGTTAGGTTAGGTTAGGGTTTTGTTTTTCCGATGGTTTTCTATGTGTTTTGAAAACTTTTTTACCTTGGTTTTTATAGCAAATCTAGATTCTGATATGGGAGGATGGCTAATATCAGAAACTATTGATTTGCGCCAGAAATTAAGGTCAAATGCGTTCATGACACAACAAAAACCATCGGAAAAACATAGTTTCAACTTCGATTTCTTATAGTGGTAACAAGTGAAATTAGGCTAGGATACAGACACATCTGGCAAGTTAGTAACGCTGTACCCTTACCGGAACACTCAGCATGTAAACTTTGGGACAAACCTTTAAACCATACACTTGAACACTATATTATGGATTGTAACACCTGGCTTATTGTATCATGAACTATGTAATTACTCTAATATTTCTTGTATATGAACCTCTGTCCTGTGTGGCAGTGAACAGTGATAGCACCCTGACTGAACTGCTCAGGTAAGGCAAAATTGGACCTTCAATCTTGCCAATGAAGTTGTTACACTAATACTAAAATGAGAGAGAGAGAGAGAGAGAGAGAGAACACCACAAAGACGAGTGAAAGTGAGGGGAAGGGGAGAGAAGGGAAAGGAAAGGGCAAGAACATATCATCACGGCTTGCATGGATAGGTAGACGGACAGAGAGAGAGACAGAGAGAGAAAGAAAGAGAGAGAGAGAGAGAGAGAGGAAATAAACAATGGAGGAAACAAAAAGAAGCAATAACCACCTGGTCTTGGTGGAGGGAATAACACATCTGATGATAAAAGAGGAGGAGGAAGATGAGTAAGATGAGGAGGTAAGAGAGAGAAATTGAGAAGAAAGAAGCAGACAAGAAACAGGAAGAGGAAGAAGGAAACAAAAATGAATCCGTAAAAGATCTTACTCAAGTAATAAAAAAAAACGAAAGAGGAGAAAGAAAAAACACCGATAAATTAAGGAAATGAAGATACAGAAAACGAACATAAAAATAAGTAAGTAAACATAGACTTAGAAAGAATAGATAGAAGATACGATAATTTACCTCTGTACGTATAGATGACACAACATAAGGGAGAATAAGCATAACAGAGGAAAATGAAAGGGAAGAAATATAAGAGGACAAGAAGGAAACAGAGGAGGAACCAGGAGATGAGATTAACCCTTGGGTACACCAGAGTGAGTTTGGAAAGTGTTAAAGAAATTATAAAAGAGAGAGAGAGAGAGAGAGAGAGAGAGAAGGCAGTTTACAGAGACGATTACATAATGTTGTAGTGAAGTATAATACCCAGTTAAGTGGATGAACTGTAAACTGGTCAGGGTGCTGGTGGTGGTGGGGAAGGAAGGAGGGAGGGAGGTGGTGAGGGAAGGAGGGAGGGAGGTGGTGGGGAGGTGGTTAGGTGGAAGAAGAGGGAGAGGAGGAGATGGTGGTTGAAAGGAAGAAGAAGAGGAGGTAGAGAGAAGAAAAAGAAGAATAAGAAAGAAGAAGAAGAAGAGAGAAGATAAGAGAGAAAACAGTTCACCTGAGACCATTAAACACACACTTAGGATTTCCACGAAGGACACTTAAGAAACCTTTAAACACTTACAACTTAACAACACACTTAAGAGAATTTTACAATCCACTTAGAATCTTTACAATCCTACTTATATTTTCTCTAGTAAGATTGGAGAAAGATTCACACTCCGAGGAAGATACGTGATTGGTGGATTGGTCAAATGGGTTCCTTACCTAACCTAACCTAACCTAACCTAACCTAATCTAACCTAACCTAGCCTGATGTAAGTTAGTCATTTGGGATTGGAAAGCCAGTCATAAGGGGTCCCAATCTTGATGGTTAGATTAGGGGGGGGGATTGGGCTGTGGGAGGGTACACACACACACACACACACACACACACACACACACACTCACATACGTACGTGCTAAAATATCTTGACCAAAATATATACTCTACTCTAATAGCCTTTGCACGAGTTGACAACCTTGAACAACCACAGCACCCGGAACAGCCTCTGTGTCTGTCTGTCTATATCTGCTGGTTGATCTCTGTCTTCTCCGTCTGCCTGTCTATCTGTGAATGTTTCTATCTCTTGTTTTTCTCCCTCTCTTTATCTATCTCTCTATGTTGCTCTTAATCTCTATTTGAGAGAGAGAGAGAGAGAGAAAACACAATAACAATAGTCATGAATGAATTAAACCAGACGATAACTTTGTAAACACCAGAAGATCGCTTTTTTCATCTCATTTATTTATTTTTTTTTTTTTTATTTTAGCACCGTATCCCCTTGACTTAATTTCTCTTTGTTTATTTATTCTAATATCTTCAACTGTAAGAATAAAAATAACTTATA